AAGCTATCTTTCTGCTGGCTGTACCTTCATATTTAAGTGACAGATTTCATATTTTTTTATTGATCGTCTTATCCAGCACTGACAGAATGAGAACAAGCACTTTTTTTTTTCTAATCTGTTGCAGCTCTCCTTTTGAAACTCTTCCACATTATTAACGTTTACCTCAGCAGTCTGTCTTTAAGGCTTCGCTAAATCATCAGAGAATCGGTTCCTCCTCCCGGTGCTCTGCCAAATGGTTTTCAAACTTCACCTCTTATCTTGTTTCATTTGTGCTGCTGAGCTGACAGTGCTGTGAAATTCCGCTCAGTCTCTCTCTCTCTCTCTCTCTCTCTCTCTCTCTCTCTCTCTCACCAGAGACAGAGAAACAACCATTACACTACAATCAAATAAATCCCCTCTCTCTCTTTCCAAACCTGGTAATTGCTTTCTTTTGCTCATCCATGAGCAGCTGGAACATTTGCGTAAAGTGTTGTAGAGGATGAAGGTCTTCAACAGAGCAATCAGCAGCCGAGTCAGAGATGACGATGGTGCTGGAGGAGGAAGAGGAGGAAGAGGAGGAAGAGGAGACGGAGCAGCAGTGGGGGGTCTAGTCAACAGAGACATAACACGGACACAAGGAGAGAAAATGAGAAGGATTTCTATATTGAATGAAAGAGAAAGAACTATGTAAGTTTGAAGCTCAGCAGAAGTAGAAAGAAGAGTGCCTGGAGCGTAACAACTATTAATAATGTATCAGAGGGGAGTCTGCCACACAAACTACACCTCATCAACCAAAACACCGGGGAGGCCCCAACACTGTGAGCATCTGCAGCAGAGCAGCCTGCGTCAGTGAAGAGCACCACCCGTCTGTCCCTACGACACAAATACTACAACACAGACGACACCGTCATTAGCATCATTATTCAGTTATTATTAAAAACTACAAATGTAAAGAAGGACGTTATTTTTTAATGAAGTGATTCAAACATGAAAATATGATGAGTTGGTGTTGTTTTGATTGCAGCTGAAGTTTTTTTTTTCGTGTTACACTCTTCAATGGTATGCAGCTTGTACATTTACAGAACGACTGTTCTCCATCTCAAAGTTTCAGTTTTATCTTTCTATTTCATTCCTCCTTGTTCCTCTCCAACGCCACATGTCAGAGGAAGTTAATGTGCAATTCACTCATGAACCCGTTTTTGACAGCTAAAGATTTAATGAACTTGTTTCCCTCCATTTTGATTGCCCTGCTTGTCTTCACCTGCGTTAGTCTCCCCTGTGTCTGATTACCCGTGTGTCTATTCCCTCTTGTGGTCAGTTCATCATATGTCATCCCCTAGACTGCTCCTTGTGTTTTCCCAGTTGGACTTTTCTTTGTGTTTGATTGAAACCTGGATACCATTGTTCTGTCACAGTCCTTAAAAAAAAAAGACTGAGGAGGAACGAAGCGCAGACATTCAACAATTTATTTAACAAAGAAGGCAAACAAAGGCTTAATGCTCTAAATGTCCACTGAGACTCAACAAAGACAATAAGACAGAGGGAAGACTAACGGCATGGGTGAAGACAATGAGGGCAATCATCTCACATTTTATTTAATGCACTGTAATAATTCTACACCTGTACTGACTTTCACTCACAGTGGAGGTTTTTATTTATTGATGCTACTAATGGAGGCTAAACGAGTGTATCACTTGAGCCAGTAGGGAACAATAAATTGTGACATGTTGTGACCTGTCATATTGTTTCATATCGCATCATAAAGAGCACAATACTTCTCTCTGCAATGCCCTGGACTTCATATGAAGTCCTCCTTAGTGTTGGTTTCAACCATTACTTATGTAGATGAAATCCATGCAGCATTTATTAACCAAAGCAAATGGTAAAACTGTGCTCTGTGAGCCTTTAGAGCATCTTACAATCATATAAAGTAAACACAAACAAAGTTTCTTTCAATATTAAAACATGAATGTTTACATGAGCAACGATGAACTCCATGAATGCTTAATGTAGGAAGAAGCTGCTCAGTAGTTCTGCTGATATTACACAAACATTCAGGGCCGCAGGAGGCTCGACTTGGCTGGCATGGGAGAGTGTGTGTGTGTGTGTGTGTGTGTGTGTGTGTGTGTGTGTGTGTGTGTGTGTGTGTGTGTGTGCGTGTGTGTGTGTGTGTGTGCGCGCGTGTGTGTGTGTGTGTGTGGCCTGAAGCGAACTTGTTACTTTTTCTCATTAACAGTCAATAAAAGAAGCATACAGCGCTCCAGACCTTTCTGTCCCTGCAGTGATGCACTTTAATTCCATCTGATGTCTCCACAGAAAGTAGCTTTGTAGTCTGAGGTCACAGCTTGATAAATGAATTAATAAGAAAGAAAAACACAAGCAAAACATTAAACCTAAAGCTGGAGGACACCGAGTTTCATATGGAGAGAAACCTTGAGTTCAGGCCGGAGAAATAATTTGTATGAACTCAATACCTTTGAGTGTTTTTTTCTCCTCATGCAGCTTCATAATTAGCTGCAGTACCTGCTCATGAAAAACACCTGAGCAGCTTCTGTTACAGAGCACTGACGCCTTGTGGTCAAATAGGGGTAGTACAAGTTTTGTTATTTTTTTCCTCAAGATTTATTTTGGGGCTTTTTGTGCATTTAGTGGAGAGATTTGGAGAGATAGGACAGTAGATAGAGTCAGATATCAGGGAGAGAGGAACCACAGGTTGGACTTGCACTCGCTTGAAGGGCCACAGCCTCCATACACAGGGCGCGCTCACTAACCACTGGGCAACCAGCGTCCCAGGGGTAGTACCAGTATCAACAGAAATACTTTAACGCGGCCCGGTTACTTACTTCATTTGAGTTTGCAACTGCTTTGCTTATTTTCACGCATACTTTACTTAATTTAAGAGGGAAACATCAACCTTTCTAATCAACTTCAATCGTTTCACAGCCTTTATTACTTTACAAAATTAGAAAATCAATATCTCCTCTAGTTTAACACAACGTGCATTCTGTGCAGCCTTTTAACAAAACAAACGTAAAGTAAAAACTACAGAAGAGTATCTTCACCAATAAGTATACTTCAACAAAGTGCCCCTGTGCACTGGTCATTTGATATACAGTCTGTTTTGTTTTTTTTATCCATCTGGCATTGTTCAAAGTGTAGTTTGTGTTTTTGTTTCTGCGCCTGACGAGCTGCTGACAACATGTAAAATGTTAATTAAAGTGATAACTTTGCTCTTGCTCTTTGCTCTTGAACTTTTGCACCATTTTTTGTGTGTTTTTTTTTTAATAACATGTTGGCAAGCAATTATTGATGACAGGTATTTGTGAGTGCAATCGGCAGAAGATTCAAAACTGCAAATAACTGATGCATCCTCAACTGAAAATATGCATCAAGCAAGTAACATAACTTGAGAGAAGTGTAAAAATAAGTAGGTAAACCTTCTTGGATGTGACAGGAACAGAGCAGCAGAGTCTTCACAGAGGCTGCTGTGGTTTTATTTGAGCATATTCCCATAAATACCTTTTGTTTTCCCTGGACCTTGTTTTGTTTATTCTCCTCAGGCTCTGTCAGGCAGATCTTAACTTGGTTCATACCTCTAAAGTCTTAAAAGCTCACATATTAACTGAACCGACTGACTCCAAGCCAAACCAAACAGACTTCCAGTCAGACATTCATCTGCTGCTTGTATATATATTTTTGAGCTGTTCTGCTCTGACTGCATGCCTGGCTCCTCTGAGAGAGACAGAATGAGATCCCAGGGTGCTCTGCAGCAGTTCATGAATTACTTCATCTCACTGAGCTGCTGTGGTTGCAGCTTGCAACACAACATGCTGGAAGCAAGGACTTGTGCTTATAAGAATGCACTTTGAAATAGAGCTGATCAAAGACAAAAGGAGTTGTAAACAGAAGCTCAGAGCAGAGGCTTGGCATTTAAAACCAGAGTCATTTGGGTTTTCAATTAAGCCTTTAAGATCAACTATTAACTTAAGGCAAGCATGACATTAAGTTATCGATTACTGACGTCAAAAGAAAAGAAAGCTTTTGCAATCTTTAAATCATGCCACCGCATTCAAAATATATCAAAACAACAGGATGTGTTTTACTTTTTCTTTTCTTTGTATCATGAACATAGTGTTAAAACAAACACCGCAAATGGAATATTCCTCTTTCTGCTGCCTTTTTCATTGGTGACAGTGTGACTGTTTGATTCATTGCCTCACAGTTAAAACAGGCCAACAGGCCCGGGGAGCTCATGCTGGGCTCAGCCGTCCCTGCTGGGTGTGACGGCTGCCGGTGCGGACGGTGACATGTCATCTCCGACCATGACACAGGCAGGAAAGTGGTATGGAAGGAGCTCTGATGACTTTTCAGCCGGAGAGATTCCCACCCTTCATTCATGATGGCATCCTTATCTGCTGCAGCGGAAACTCAGAGAGCTCCTCTATGTGCACTTACAACGCTGGCTGATATTTTTCGCCAGCTGTTAATGTCAATCACTGCTGGATTTTGCCTGTTTTTTAGGGATTTTTTCTGAAACCTACCTTACTAGCCAGACTGTCATTTCTTTGTAAGAGTGTTATGCAAGAACAAAAAGTGGAGCTTTGTTTGAGAACAACAGTCTTTTCTTTGTGGATGTTATGATGCTGTAATTGAGCAGAAGCCATTATTTTGGTTAAATCTTGAAAAACTGGTCTTACAAAAATGTTCTCGACTTCCTGTGGCAAATCGCCTGTTGTGTTTGTATGTATGTTTGTGTATGTGTGTTTATGCCTTTTTGTGTCTGTGGGAATACACCTGTGTGCACATGACCTCTAATCCAGAGAGAGACAGAAGCAGCAGCAGGAGTAGGAGGAGAAGGAGGAGTGGCATAGGTACACTGGATATTCTCGCTGGGTTTGAAGAGGGTGGAGATGAAACCTGGAGGACAGCATGGCAACACAAACCTGATAAAGGAGGAGTCACACCGAGCGTGGCCTCACTTCAGCTCCCACACCTGACAGCAGCAGCAGTCTGCAGCAGTCATGCTCAGCCTCATCAAGTTACCGCGAGTCTTCACCATCAATCAGGTGCCCAAAGTAAGTTCAACTTCACTGAATTATTAGGATATTTTTGCTCTCACACTGTCAGACTTTGCTGTATACTCAAAAAAAAAACACCTTTAAAAACATAAACTGTGAATCAAAAGTGTAAAATAAAAAAAATAGTTTATTGTACTCAGTGAGTTTTACATTTTAACTTACACACACCTTTTGCTTTCTTACTTTACTTCATAACAGTACTTCTGCTGCTTGTTTGAGGTTAAATTGTAAATGGTAAATGGAGCTTGTGTGACGCTTTTTTCTTTTGACTACCCAAAGCGCAAGTCACACATAAACATTCACATACTGAAGGCAGAGGCTGCTATGTAAAGTGACCATCAGAAGTAACTAATCCATTCATACACATTCATATGCTGCCGACACAGCAGCGGGAGAAATTTGGGGTTAAGTGTCTTGCCCAAGGATACATCGACATGTGGCTGCAGGAGATGGGGATTCAACCCCATGACCTTCCGGTTGAGAGACGACAAACTCTACCGCTGTGTCTCAGTTTTGAACAAGTTTATATGTTCAAAAATAATCTGCGAATTGAATGTAATGTCCAATAAATCAGTGGTTACTATAAGAACATTATCAGTGTGTTACAGTGAGTATAACGTAAACACAAGCTGTTAGTGTGACCACTGAATAGTGATGCTGCCTCTCTTTTGTTTTGATTCAAGACATTTTTGAGAAGCTAAAAGTATCAGTGTCTCACAAGAATAACAACATCATTCTGTCTTTCTTATAACTTTAAATTCCTCTCAGATTTATCCATGGGCACCTTCAGTGACTCCAAAACAAGTCTTGTGATCCATTGTTAAACATTTTTTTTACAGGTTTTTACATTTACAACCCATCCCCCATCAGAATATCCTGTATGTTTTTGCACTTTGTTCAATGAAGCTTAAGACTTATTCAGCACCCAGAGAAGTAGCGAAATGTGCTTCACAAAGCTGCCACACTGACTGTGATCTAACCCTGACTTGATGTTGCTGCAGGTTTTCCATGAGGACAGCATCATCTCCGGGTACAGACATCCCCGCAGCTCAGCCACCGACTGCATCCTCAGCCTCTTCCAGCTGACCAATGAGACGCTCAACATCTGGACCCACTTCCTGCCAACCTGGTATGGTGTTTACTATGCTGCTCTATGGCTCAGTTTTAGGATTCCTAACATGCATGTGCTACCTGTCGTGTGTTTGTTAGAATAACAATATGTGACGATCCTGAGGGCACACTCGGCGAGAGGTCAAATGTTTTTTTTTAAAGGCGAGACAGCTGAGAAATTCAGAGCAGTTTTTATTCATTAAGCAAGGGTGAGATTATAACTTTTTCACCACAATTTAAAAAGAGTTTGTATCGGAAAGTAAACTCATACGTCCTCTTTGATTTTTGATTTTAAATACTCTAACTACACTGAAGTGCTTCTACGTTCATGACAGTGAGAAGGTAATTCTTTATGTCTCTACGTAAAGAGGAATCTTGAACAGCTTGTTGAGCTTGTAGGTCAGAGAGCGAGAGGGAGAGAGAGAGAGAGAGAGAGAGAGAGAGAGAGAGAGAGAGAGAGAGAGAGAGAGAGAGAGGAGAGAGAGAGAGAGTAATCCAGAGAGGTCAGCAAGTAATCCAGAATTTTCTTACTTAATTTCATTTGGTTTTGCAGTTTGACATTTTCCTGAGTCGAGGCTCCGGCTATTATCAAGTAAAGACATTTAGTAAAGGATTTATTCGATCACTTCTGGCACATTACTGACTAAAGGATATCATTCATTTATACAGCTCACATCCAGAGTTAAAGTATCGTTCTGCTTACTATTCATATTATAAATCAGGGAATAAATCCCAGTATTTATTTATTACTATGGATGCACTTAGAAGAGGCCAGGAGATCAGTGGATTTGTTGTCATAAAGTCGTTGTGGCAGCAGAGTTTACACCTATTCATCTGTGTTAACTGAAGTTATATAAGAAAGATTGCACAAACAGACCGGTTTGTTTTGATTAATACATCCCAGCAACAATGTGGGTAACAAAAACATCCCACGGTGTCACAGTGCCTCTTGTCAACAGATTTATAGACGTACAAGTAGCCTCAAGTTCAGCAGTATTCTCAGCTACACGACAGTTTTTTAATCCTCGAGTTAATTTATTCAATTACTAAACTTTGTCCGAGCTGTCAATTTATTTTGAATAATCTGTTCAAATTTTAAAATAAAAAAAAATCCAACGAATCTGAAGTTAAAGAGTTCCCCTCGAGTATTTTTTCAACACATTTCAGCACCAGATGTCAAGAGTTTGGCTGTTGCTGAGCGCTGCACAGGACTATTTCTTTACTCCACTCTCACTGGATTATTGTTTCATTATTGCATCACTTTAGCCTTCAGCAAAGTTAATCTGCCACCTCCTGCATGATTTGTGTTCCGTCCTACGGCACCTGTGGGACTCAAATTTGTATACAGTCTAATGCACAAGCTGACATAATGTAACATTTCTAAACAGAACATGTAGGCCATGTCGGTGATTTTTGTAAGTCATTTCACTACGTGATTGTACGGCCATCTTTAACCACAGAACTGTAAAGTAGTGTTTAAACGTGGCAAAGACAACGCATGTTTGGGTTTAGTCTTGCATACAGTTATTTAAAATGACTCGCTTTATGTTCATTGATTCTCAATCAGCCGACAGCAATTTCAAGACAGCATGATCACAAACACATAAAGGAACTAATTACAATTTCTATCACTTAAAAAAAGTCTGAAGTTTATTCCTAGACTGCATGACCAAGTCAAAACAACTTCGCTGACAAAATAAGGATAAACTCGATCACTGGACTTCATTTTCATCTTCATGAAAACTTACAACTTGTCCATAATTCCTGCATGTGAGACATTGATCTATCCAGTAGCTTAAGTTAAAAGTCAAACTTTGAAGACTAAGTTGATAAAACCTGTTGGGTTTTAAGTTGTATTAACTTTGGGTTTTGCAAAATGAACCTTTATCTGAGTTTCCAGTATTTTAACATTTCATAATAGACTCTGGGGCGCGGGTAGCGTAATGATTAGTGCACATGAACCATGTACAGCTCAAGCGGGTGGCCTGGGTTCAAATCCGACCTGTCATTCCCCACTCTCTCTCTCCCTGATTTCCAACACTACCCAGTGTCCTGTCTCTAAATAAAGGAAAAATAGATGGTTATATCCATTTAAGACCTGTGGTACCTCTGTAAATGACACAGTTCTGCTGTTAGTATGCGCATGTGTGTGTGTTTGTGTTTGTGGATTCAACTTTACTACAGAGGTTACTGCTTCCACCAGCCACACTGCACTCCCCCCTGCTGAGATGCCAGTTGCTTGACTTCATGATCCAGGGAGGAAGTGTGTGTGTGTGTGTGTGTGTGTGTGTGTGTGTGTAGCTGAGGGCACATGGGTGTTTGTGTCGTGGGGCTTGGTGTAGCCCTACATGTCGGTTGCTAATGAGGAGATCTGAGCTGGAGCCTTGAGGTGCCACGATTAGTTAAGTGCTCAGTGACGAGAAAAAACACAAATAAAGTTGATTTGTTAATGAGGGGCACTGAGGCGTGGAAACAATGGTAGGTATACACAAATACACAAAGCAACGTACAGCCTGCTGGTGAGATGAAGCTCTGTGCGTTGCACTATTTGTTTTTTATAAGTGCCAGTTGGTGCCCAATTAAGCATTTAATTGAGTAAAAAGACAGCATGACACTTAATCATGAACAGCTTGGTTTTGCCACATTGACAGGTACTGACAGGCAGAGATGACAAACACAGCAGGAATTTTAAATGAATGAAATGAAAATGAAAGAATGAAATACATCCATGGATAATTGTCCGTCCCAGGTTTTTAGTGTGGGAAGAATTTGGAAAGTGTGTGAGTGTTGTTACATACAACAACTGAGATTTATTATTCCTGTGCTTTTGTGGTATTAATGACTCTGCATCTATCTGGGGCTGAAAAATTGCCTATCAACACTTCTGGATTTTTTAATGAACATATCGTATCTTTCTTGTTTTTGGTGTTTAACAAACAGAAATGTCCAAATGAATAACTCCATATTCTCCTGTCAGCACACAAGTCCCGAGAGAGGTCTGTTAACACTGTACATGCATCCACAGTATATTATCTTTGTACCTCATTCACTGCATTCTTGACTTCGCCTTTGTTATCTTAAACATGTTGAACTCATTCAACGATCCTTCTAGTTTTACCTCAACAAGTTTTACCTCAACAAGTAACATGCATTCAATCATTGAATCACGTGTAATCTTCTTTCTTTTTTTTGTTTACACTTTATAGTGCTTGTTTTTTTGTTACTGTTTTCTCCTTCAATATGTCAGGCATTAGACATTTCAATCAATCTTTATTTGTATTGGGCCAATTCATGAAAAGTTATCTCAAGACACTTTACAAAAGAGCAGGTATAAGACCTTTTTGTTGCTCCATATCCTATCATGGGTAGTTCAATTTATTTTGTTCAATGATTTTTTGGGGGGCTTTTTATACCTTTATTTAGAGATAGGACAGTGGATAGAGTCAGAGAGAGAAGAAAGAGCGGGGAAAGACACGCAGGGAAAGAGCCACAGGTCGGATTCGAACCCGGGCCACACGCTTGAAGGACTATAGTCTCTGTATGTGGGGCGCGTGCACCAACCACTAGGCTATCTTTGCTCTCGGGTAGTGCAATTTCTTGACTGTTGATATGATCATCAGGATTCAAAAAGTAAGAGATTTAATACGAAACAATGGTGATAGAAGATACTTTTTGCTTTAGCATCCTTCTCTTTTTATTATGACAACCCCACACCATGCTACTATTCTAAAACAAGCAAGAGAAGTGTAATAAAACTGTAAAACAAAATACGTACTGCAGCTTCACAATCATTCCAGTTTACACAATGTTACCCGTTTCTCCCGACAGGTACTTCTTATGGAAACTAGTGATGGTGGTGTTGATTCAGAGAGCATGGCAGGACTCCTTCACCTGGCCTCTGCTCATCTTCCTGTTCTCCTGCTGCATTTACCCGCTGACATCCAGCTGTGCTCACACCTTCAGCACCATGTCAGCCCGGGCTCGCCACATCTGCTTCTTCTTTGACTATGGAGCTCTGAGTTTCTACAGCCTGGGTGAGTCTATGTGATTCACTATCACTTGGTTCACCAGGACCCAGTGTGAGAAATAAGAGAGAGCCTTAAAATCTACAGTCTATGCTTCAAATGTGTCGATGAAGCTAAATCAAAGTAAGCCACCTTGACAGATCATGAGTTGAGTTCAGCATCTCAGATAATTCAGTAAAATAAAGCTGACCGCAGAACATAACTCTATCTAGTTATTCATCATCAGTGGTCTCTGCTGTGATTTTTGAGGTTTTAATTTGTGGCATGCTGTGATGGATAACATCATTCTGTCTCTCAGGTCTGGCAGGTTAGAGTGGACTGATAATCTTTCTGATGTCATTTTAGAATTTAATTTCTATTTTTCCCTGTTGATGTGTCCTGATGTAGGGTCAGCCATCGTGTATTCAGCGTACGTTTTTCCTGACAAATGGATGAACAGCCTCTTCCACCAGTACTACATCCCCATCGCTGTGCTCAACACCGTCATCTGCACCGCTCTGGCCTGTTACTCCAGGTGTGCTGAGAATTGTTTTCTTTTAATTCAGTCTTCATAATTGGATAATTATAAACAATATAGACAGCCAAAACAAAGTCAACAGTCAAGTATTCATCAATCCCTTGGGTACTGCACAGGCAACCTTTCTTAATCCTGACACTATACCATTAATTTGTTGACACTGTTGTTTACTTTTTAAATAGCTTTCCAGCCAAGAATGAGCAATACCTCGTATCCCATACTTCTCCAATGTAAATGTCTGTGATCTAAAAACCTTTTAATCATGCTGCAAGCAACGCTTATTTTTGATTAATTGAATCATCAAATAATCAGTTTATTTTAAGTAGCAGTTTAATTGCTTTATTTTTTAATGTACTTATTACAATTTGTTAGATCCCAGATTTACTTACTCAAATTGTCCTTTTATCTAATGTATAGAACATTTGATATGCTATCATAAATGATTTAAGAAAAGTTATAAATCCTCACATTGAAGAAACTTAAAACCAGCAAATGATTTACAGTCTTGATCGAATATGACTCAAACAATGAAGAGAATTTGGCAATTTAATTTCTTATTATTAACTAATCCCATAATTAACCAACTGTTGTAGCTAGTTTTTAACATGTTCGCATACTTCCACTGATCTTTTCTAACCTCATACCGCACTGTTACACATTTTAAACATTTTAAAAATTCAAGAAATATGTTTTTCTTTAAGTTTTCTCTTAAACTAAGTTACTATCAGAAATGTCTTACTCTAGGGTTTTCCTAACTAAACACTGTCAGAATAAAGTTACAACTCTAAACCATATACTTGGTTAATGACAACATATTAATTTGACAAATCTCAAATATTTGTGGCGTGTTAAAGACCCAAGGAAATAAACTAAAATATCTGGGAATATAAAGGTTAGTTAGACCTCTTTTATAATTTAATTTAGTACCCCTTCTGCATCAGTACGACACCTTTCCAACTCTTGAGTTCATAGCTGTTATGAAATTGTTGTATCCTCATGTTCTGGATTCATGATGTCTTGATGTGACTAATAATTGCTATTTCACTTTGTTCCATCTTTTAAGACTTGGCTTTCCATTTCTGCAATACAATCATGACATCATGAAGAGGTAAAGACTATGCATTTGCTAATAATCTCCTCCTGCTTTTTCTTCACTGTCCAATACAAACGCTGCTTTAACCTGCCTGAATCTGTTGTGTTATACAATAGATAAATGCAACCCCATCTTTTACAAAGGATAGATTATCGTTTAGTCCTCAGGCAGACTTCATCCCACAGACACTGTTGACAGGGAAGGATTGAGCAAGTGACAGTTAAATGGGTGTTACCCAACCATGGCTCTAGAGACCAACCCAACCCAGTGACTGACTCTGATTGTAGTTTCAGCTGAGCAGGTTAAAGGACATGACAGAATAAATGTGGCTAAACAGGTTCTGTGAACACCTAACTCCAAGAAAAATCAAAGATAGTTGGTATTTGTTTTAAATTTCACAATTGCAAAATATTTCTTAATAGATTGCTTGACCTGGTCATTTATAGCTTCTGTGCACTCAATCCTGAACAGAGAAGTACAACATGCTAGTTGAGGATGCCATGAAATTCAAACAATCCCCACATGGATTACTATTTAGATGTGCGTTCATAATTCTCTTTAAATTCGTTAAAGGCAGAATGTGCGACATTTTACTCATAAATACAGCAGAAATCACGTATGTCCTCTGTAAATGTCTCTGAGTCATGACTGTCTACAATAAGTGAGAAGCTAAGCCCGCTGGTTGTGTTATTGTCTGTCCGTGTTTACATCATGTTTACATGGACGGGAGGCCTATAAAGCTGTGTTAGTCAATGATTAGAGAAAATAAGAATAACATACTCACTGTTTATTTGGATGTCACATAAGTGTCTTCGGATCAAAGTGACTCTGTGTCAATTTACGTGCAATATGAGTTAACCAGAGTGTCCTAACATTAGCCTGCTAACACAACAGTGCAGGACACAGGCAATTTCCGCTTGAGCCAAGAACAATATTGTTCGCTGCTTGCGCTTAATAGTGCTTTATCGTGGTGTGTTCCAATTTACAACTCTTTCCTGTGAACGCGAGGAGGGGGGGTTGGTGGTGTGTCGCTGGGGGAGAGCGGAGGCTTCACTATGGCGGAGTTGTCGCCAAACAGCAGTTTGTTTTGGTTTTATGCTGGTGCTTAAGGGCGACATCTAATGGATCAAAAAGTCGGACATTCTTCCTTCAGTCTTAGTTTTACTTGATCTCAGTGCTGCGTTTGACACAGTTGACCACAATATATTACTCGACCGACTGGAAAACTTGGTGGGAGTTTCTGGCACAGTACTAAACTGGTTTGAATCCTACTTAAAGGACAGGGACTTCTTCGTGTCTATAGGTAACTTTAAATCTGAGTAAACAAAAAATACTTGTAGAGTTCCCCAAGGTTCCATCCTGGGGCCTCTTCTGTTTAACCTCTACATGCTCCCACTAGCACAGATTATAAAAAACAATAAAATAAGTTATCATAACTACGCAGACGACACACAAATATATATTTCAATGTCGGCAGGCAACCATGGTCCCACAAAAGCACTGGGTAAATGCATGGATGCAAATCAATGAGTGGATGTTCCCTAAGAGGACTTATGTCCCAGCAGGACCTGGAAAAACTTGATTACTGCAACAGTGTCTATACAGGTCTGCCTAAAAAATCAGTCAGACAACTGCAACTGATCCAGAACGCTGCTGCTAGAAAAACTAGAAAACTGCAGGTTTGCTGAAACTCTCAGCTCTTTTAAATCAAGGTTGAAGACACACTGTTTACAGCTGCCTTTCATTAAACAATTTTAATACGATTTTAAATTTTAACTCTGCACTGTAACTTTTAACTCTTTTTATATTTTTACTTTATTTATTTCAATTAACATGTGTTCAGATTTAATAATTCCAGTGATTTTTTTTTAATGTTCTATTTTAATGTTTCTTTTCTTTCCTCCTTCATGATGCTTTTGATGTCTTGTGTGAAGCACTTTGAATTGCCTTGTTGTTGAAATGTGCTATGTAAATAAACTTGCCTTGCCTTCATGTATTTTGATTTTATGTGAAATTAACAATAAAGTATTTTATATAGATATTATATATAGACAGCACTTTCAGCTTTGATTATATGAACTTTCCACAAAGCAACCTCCAGTGCTCTTAACCCAAGGATTATCCACAGTCACATTGCAGTGACTAAAGTTCTGTTGGTCATTTTTGAAAATAATCTTGTTCTTCCTTCGTTCCAGATTCCCTGAGTGCCAGAGACCCAAGTTCAGCAAATACATGCGTGTTGTTGCCTTTGCCTACCCGTACCTGTTTGACAACATTCCTCTGTTCTACAGGGTAGGAACACACCTGTTATTTTCATGCATCTGTATCTTCAAACAAAACTGGTCTGAATGGTCATAGAAGAGTTTGTGTTTGACAGCAGTAAGGTCAAAACAAATGCAACCACCGGAATGTGCTGCAGATTAAACAAATCTGCTGCAAAAAGCACAAATCAATTTAGACTCTGGATGGCCTTGCGGTTCATTGACTGACTGACTGATTGATTGATTGATTTGTTTTCTCATGTCAAAAAACAAATCGGAAGCTTCCAAAAGCTTTTAGAAGGGAGCATAGACATAGATCAAATAACAAGTAGAGCATGACTCAAAACACAACAGCTGAAACACCAAGCAACACAATAGACACTAAACAATACACAACATGAACTCAATAATAATGGGTTCATTCCTCAATAGAAGCACCACAAATCATGATGGATTAAGCTGAGTCTTTGTAACATAACAATGATTAAGGTCTTATATCTGACTGAAAAGATAACGGTAATCCATATTTTATATATATATATATATATATATATGAAGTAATGTATGCTTCATCAAAGGGTGATAGAAGGTAAATCTGCCTATGTGTGTGTCTTTGCAGGTGTTTTTTTGTGTCGGGGAAGGCTGTACGGACATGAATACCAACATCCTTCACTACTACCACATCACCTTGGCTCTCCTCACAGGCTTTCTGTTTGCCACCCATTTACCTGAGCGCCTGGCACCTGGCAGCTTCGACTACATCGGTAAGACTGACCACACTCACAGGGTTATTTCCACAAGCATTTTAATACTTCATACTTGCTCTGTTTAACCTGAGTGCCACCAAGACCTGGCAGTCAATAATCACCCGAGTGTGCTGAGTCTCAGCTTTGCAGAGTTTTTCCAGTCACAGCAGGCAGTTTTTTAGAAGTTGAAGTGTTTTTTTATTTTAGCATTTTTTGTAGAATTATAAAACTAATTAAAAGTGGATGTAGTTAATGTTGTGTCCAAAAGGATGTATTCATGTGCACCTACAGTATTGAAAGAAGTAATTTCCAGATCAAACAAATTAACAGCTGTCTGTAAACTTGGGATTCACATTAACTCATTAATGTATTCTCATTTGTGTTAAACATTGTGAAATGAGCTTAATGCATAACCACCTCTGATTTTTTCATTCTGTTGAAATCCCATGGCAATGTGACTCATTTGCTCAATGGTTAAGGGCAGGCTTGATTTTACTCCCACTGCTTCCAATGTGACATGTCTCTTGGATTCCTGAGCTCAAACACAACTCGACTGCTCCCTCTGCAGGTCACAGCCATCAGCTGTTCCACGTGTGCGGCATCCTTGCCACCCACTTCCAGATGGAGGCCGTAGAGCAGGACATGATGATACGCCGCTCCTGGCTCCGTGAACACTCCTTACCCATCACCTTTGCCAGCTCATTGGGTGCAGCGCTGTTTTGTGTGGTGCAGAATCTGATTATCATCATCCTCTTCAGTCTCCCTCTCCTCTCTGGCCCAGTCTGCAAAGAGAAGAAACATAATAAAGGTAAAAAGAGGTCTTCAGCCAAGGTCAGCCCCTGCTGCTAGACCTCTGGTTTTAAGTCTGAGGAATCCCAGCCGATCAAAAGACATAGAGACAAAGGGAGAATGTGCCTCATGGTTGATAACACATATGAAAGAACACTCCATGGCAATGAGAAACCGTGTTAAAAAGCATTATAACTGTTGTGGCTAAGCTATTCGTAAGAAGTTATTTATATGTTGAAAAAACAATTTTCTGATTTCCACACATGTGGTGTATGACGAGACTCTAAGCTGCAGGGAACAAAACATGTGAAGACAAAAGAGCCAGTTATGATAGTTGAGGAAAAATGTTTGCGTTTGAGTTTGTGCTGCATAGCAACATTAATGGAAAGTTAAGCACCTGTTAATGTAAGATATTAAAAAAAGATAAAAAGTAGATGGGTAGTTCATTTTCCCCTAAATGACTGCTGTTTCTGTACTGCGTAATGTCGGATTGTTCATTTGATACAAAACTGAAAGTATTTTTGTACAATATTATTTATAATGATTTTTTTTTTTCAAATAAAATGTTAAACAACCATGCATGTGTCTGATCGAATACATAATAGAAAGTGTGTTATTTAGCCATACAAGTTCATTAAAATATTCTTTAAAGATCAATCAGTAAAGAAAATGATTTCAGGTTATTTTTCAGTTCATACAACATTGACAAAACAACGAGTGGAAGAAAAGAAGAGCATGAACAAGAGTAAACATGGAGGTATAATCATAAGGTATAATACAGTATCTTCAATATTCCCATGGCTTTGTTTTTTTCAGGACACACTTCCTTATTGTTTTGCATGTTTGCTACAAATTTGTTATATCTTCTGTGAATCACAGAAAAAACCCAGCTGAAGTTACTGTTTCTGATCAGTACAATTGTATTTAGAATTTGGGAAACAATATAAACAGATAAAGACAATATTTTCTATCCATTGTAAGTTAATATTTATTCACTGTTATACGGCGTCACCCGTTGAACAATTTTCTTAAATACAATTTTTGAATGGATACAATATAATAATAATAATTGCAATATACTTTCATTTGTAGAAGTGGATACGAATCCTTCTATACTTCGAGTCAATCACTTGTACACATATTATATCCTAGTTGAAACTATGTATCTGAATAACAGAGATAGGTAACGTTTAGTTATTTAACATGCCATGAAGGACATAATCATGTCGTAATATTTACAGTCTATGTGTTCATGGCTACACTTCGCTGGTTTACAGATGCTGCGTTCACGTACTCCTCCGGTAATGGGTTGGTTGGGAACTCGTTCCTCTGATCTGTTGTGTTCATGACTTGTGTCGTATCAGAGACGCTACAAATACAATCCATTGTATTATTTTGCTCAGCACTGATTTTTATGATTCTACCGGGAAAGCAACAATCGAGTATGATAATGTCACAAAGTAAAAACGACTCATGTAATAATATATCGTTAATTTTAACATTCAAGCCCACTTTTACTTTAGCGCGCCTTGTTTCTGATTACTATGACAGCCTGACGGGTTGCTGTTTCGATCCTTGAAGCCTTGACTTGAATTTGTCTAGTTGGAGATTAATTTATCCGAAAACTTGAACACCACTTAAAAGAAGCTGGAGTTTACATAGCGTGACGGAGGCCGGACATCCGCTGCAACAGCCTCGTCTTCACTGTGATTGGTTGGATTATTCGACAGCTTTCCGGAAGAGGGAATTCAAATCGAGCAGGGCGCACTTGTCTGCAGAGGAGTTTCTAAACACAAACAATGCAGAGACCGGGGTTAGTAACTTATTCCTTGTTTTTTTTTTATTTATTGTTTAAAAATATAATTAGATAAACATCTAATAAGCTACAGCCTGCGATTAACATGCAGACAATTAAGTAACCCACCTTCTCTTAGTCTCTATAGATAGAAAACGACGAGCTGAGTTATCTTAGCTGTCTAGCTTAGCACTCAGTTGACTGTTCGTCTGCGTTTCAATGCTGACTTTAACATTCACCTTTTGACCTAAAAGCTATTACTGCTCTCTCTTGGAAATCAAAACGTATTCAAACTTACGTCAAGTCGTTATTTTTCTTTCGTTTCTGATCATCACCTCAAAGTTTTTCACGAGCAGGTGACACCTGAGTCAACTTTGCGAGTGTGCGTCATTTAGCTGAAAATAAATTGACAAAAAGTGATGGCATATAAGAAATATGTTAAAAACATTAAGCAATATATATGGAAGCCCATTTCCGCCAGTAAAAAAAATAAAAATGAAAATAATAAAGTCTCATTTCAATTTTTTATCTCATTATTTTGACTATTTATCTCATTATTATGACTTTTTATCTCATTATTTTGACTATTTATCTCATTATTTTGACTTATCTCATTATTTTGACTATTTATCTCATTATTTTGACTTATCTCATTATTATGACTTTTTATCTCATATTTTGACTTTACATCTCATATTTTGACTTATTATCTCATTATTATGACTTTTTATCTCACAATTTCGACTTCTTATCTCATTATTATGACTTTATTATTTTCATTTTTATTTTTTTAACTTGCGGAAATGGGCTTCCATAAATATATGGTGAAGAGTAAGAAGAAAAAGCTGTTCATCACTCTGCTTTGTGTGGTTTTTTGTCTCAGTTCAAATTATTTGAAGTATTTGTATTTAATTGAATTGTGTCCTTGCCTCAACTCAACAACAACAACACCTAACTTGAGAGTATGACTTCAATAATGTGTAGCTAGTTACTTGGGTGAATATTTTTTAGTATAATCCGCCATCTGGTAATGTGACATATATGACTTAAAATAATTGATGTTGTTTGACCTCTATTCTGTATTGCTTCAACACTTTCAGCAAAGGGAAAACTCCTCGGAGGCCGGGCCCAAAAAAGCCTTCCAGCGTAGAGAAGGATCCTGTTGGAGTAAGTGAACACATCTTTTCCTCAAACTGAGATTAATATTGAATAACAGCAGCTCTAAAAAAGACCTCAGTGGACATAGAAAATTAATCATAAAGCTGAACCTTCATTGTGCTTATCTGTGGTAAGAACATTAACATTGTTGTAGTCAGAGGGAGGCATTTCTGTGTTTGCTGCGGTTTACCCGAATGTATGTCTCTAAGTTGTGAGATCTCATCTTCGCTGTAGGTATACTGCCGTATCCGTCCTCTAGGAGCCGAAGATGAGGAATGTTGTATTGAGATGATCAGCAGCTCCACGATTCAGCTTCACCCTCCTGATGGTCTTAAAGCAAACCGCAATGGAGAATACAAAGAGGTAAGCATTATTTGATATCAACATCCACACATTGCAGTGACCGCCTTTGCTCTATACTTTGTTCATTTTAGGAAATGGCCTTTAATGGTTTTGCAAAGTCAGGGATTTGGATAATTTGTTTTATTTTATACAGCAACAAAACTTATGTAGCGTAACAGATAAAAAAAAATAAAAAATCATGAAGGTGGTTTAGTTACAGCAACACTCGTTAGAGAACTGAGCCTTTCTTTTTCACAAAAAGGTTTAATGTTATGATTCTAATAAGGCTATTGGCTCTTCTTGCCATGACTTGTTGAATGCCACTAACACATACTACATTTTCTTTTTGCTTTTTAGACGCAGTACTCCTTTAAGAAAGTATTTGGTATAAATACCAGTCAAATTGAGTTGTTTGAGGATGTTGCCAAGCCTCTGGTGGAAGACCTCATTCATTCCAAGAACGGTGAGTCAGTGAGAGTTTTGTCTATGCATGAAATATATGATGTGAACTGAGCACAATCGCAAATATTGAATAAAGGAAGGATAAGCATTAACTCATCAGCAGGACGTTAGTTACAACTGTTTCATTCATTCATTCATTCATTATGAAAGGGTAAATTCAAGGAACATTTTCTGAAACAGAAGTGAAATATGAGTTTGAATATGTGAGTTACTATTACTTTGACTTTTGGTTATTCTAAACTTTGAATATTAAGGTCGCACCAACCAACAGAATATGTAATATCACAGACGGTAAAGTCAGTCGGAGCCTTCTGTAACCACTATTATTTTTTATTTTATAGGTCTGCTCTTTACATACGGTGTTACTGGAAGCGGTAAGACGTTCACCATGACTGGCTCACCTGGGGAAGGCGGATTACTCCCTCGTAGTCTGGACATGCTCTTCAACAGCATCGGACCCTGGCAGGCCAAACGATTTGTAAGACTTTCATTTGTGTTTTAGAAGTTTGTCTCCAATTTAAGCATTGTGGATGAGCTGTTTGGTTCAAAGTTTTATTTCTTTGTTAGGTGTTCAAACCTGATGACAAAAATGGAATGGAGATCCAGAATCAAGTTGATGCTCTCCTAGAGAGACAGAAGCGGGACAGTCAGCAGTCCGTGCCCAAAACGCCATCATCCAGGTAGTTATGACTGATTGTATCTCACTTTTAAGTTTCAAATACTATTGATGTTCATAATTCTGAAGGTTTTACTGCCTGTTAAGTCAATTTAGATTACTGTTTACTGTTGCTTTTCTTGTCGTTTATGTGTTTAGGCAGAAGGCAGATCCAGAGATTGCAGATATGATCAGCTCAGAAGAGGCATGTAAATCTGACAATGTGGATGAAGACTGCTGTTACAGCGTCTTCGTTTCCTACGTCGAGGTCTACAACAATTATATCTATGATCTCCTCGAAGATGCTCCATTTGACCCAATCAGACCTAAGTAGGTGACAGAAGTTCAAATGTGTGGATGCTTTTAACTCATCTCTGTACAAAGCTCAGTCGTCTTTGCCTTTATAGTTGGGAATGCTACCCAACTCTGCCGACACTCTTAACATCCTTCTTCTGTGCACAACTAAGGTGTTCCTTATAGTTGTGATTTTTTTGTTGACGAGATGCACTTGTACAAATCCTGTGTTTGTTAGGTGGCTCGGTGGAGGCACGCCTGTACGGAATAATGAGTTCATGTATGTGGCCAGTTAAAGTACATCGCTCAGTACTCTGTTTATTCATAGGGGTAACATGGCTGTAGCTTTTTTATTGTGTTGGTCATCAGTGCATTCCCATCCCATTAATCCAAAGCTCTGTAAATAGACAAGTGTAGCTTACTGGCTAGCTTTGACATGACTGTGGCTGTTGTCTTCAATGATTAGCTCCCTGCTGTTACTGTTAGTCTAGATACCCATAATGTCTCCTAATGTCTTATGTGCAAACCCAGTGTGCATGTGTCTGTACCCCTGAATGTGTCTGCATTTCTCCCTAGAATGTACTGTATGTTATTTTAGTTATAAAGCTAACATCATTTTGCTTTTGCTTCTTGTCTTACTAAAGCAACCCATCCCTGTGTGCATTGTTGGTGTGTGTTGATAATTCTCATCAACCTGTTTCAGACCACCTCAATCCAAACTTCTCCGAGAGGACCAGAATCACAACATGTATGTTGCCGGCTGCACAGAGGTCGAAGTGAAATCCACAGAGGAGGCTTTTGAAGTGTTTTGGAAAGGTGAGTGGAAATACAAACATTATCTCTTTGTTAATTTAGTTTGAATCTTCTGGATTTTAATAATTGTTAGTAAAAGGCCTACTTTGTATTCACATATTCAACAGACAGCAAACCTCAAATAAAACCTCACACAGACGTGTTATGACCGTTTTAACACTTTATTATAATTAGAGTAGTGAGTGTGGTGAGCGGATGTGCAGACATCAATGCGCACTCATCGCACGTTGAAGCTGTTTTGACAGCAACATTGTGTTAACAAAGACTACAGTCTGCAGTGCAGAGCACACTTTACTCTGGTGAATGAAGTTACAATAGAACAGGTGAACTGTTTCATCTTTCTCCTCTGTGCGTAATGACACACTCGCTCAATCTCGCTCGTCCGTCCGCTATGAGCTATTTCTCCCTTTAAGGTTGTTCTGTTTTGTAGTTATTAAAAGAATAATCATCTAAAATATCCAAAATATAGGAAAACATCTAGTTATGCTGCTCTGTCCTGGATATCGAGCATTGTTGGTTTGGTGGGGTGAAGCGGTAATCACAAAGTGAAAGTCCTTCTTTTTCTGTGGACTAAAAAGACAATTTGAACTGAATTTTCATAGATCATGTCGCATATTTCATTTGTTTGGGACTTTTTGTTCATTGTGATTTCATAAAGGGGTTAATTAAAGGGATATTTTTGTTAGGGTAGCAGCGTACAGATCAACAACGGACGCGTTTCAGCTCAGAGCCTTTATCAGCGCTTTGTTTGTCATCTATTTTCTTTTTGTGCTCGTGCTCCTGAAGTTTTATTTCTCTTTGAGTGTGCTCCTTTTTTTCTGTTTTGAATTAAGCCTATCCTAGAACCCACAATGCAACAAAAAACATTTACAAAAATGTGGAGTACAAAACGATTGTCGATTACATTTTTTTTGTAACCGATTATTAACCTCAGCAGACCTCTGACACTTGGTGCTTTCACCTCCTTGACGTTTTTAGTTTTATTATTTTTTTAACTTGAAGATGACACGCTGCAGTTCGGCGGATCTGACTTTGGAGTTTTCATTCTTTTTTTTTTAATACCCGAGTACTCGTTTGCACCCCTACTGTGTACAAACTTTCCTCAAAGCGGGCAGACCAGGTTTGAATCTGACCTGTGGCTCCTTTGCTGCATGTCATTCTCCACTCTCTCTTCCTGACTTCTGACTTTATCCACTTTCCTATCCAATAAAGGCAAAAATAGTTATTTGAAAAAAAACATTTGTTAATGCCTTTATTGACAAAATATCTTTATTTTCAGGGCAAAAGAAAAGGAGGATAGCCAACACTCAACTAAATCGTGAATCCAGTCGCTCCCACAGTGTGTTCATGGTGAAATTAGCCCAGGCTCCGCTTGATGCTGATGGGGATCACATTCTACAGGTGACATGCAGCTCAGAAGTTACACTTCAAAAAATGTTTTTCATGTTTTACACGACAAAACGTGGAAATGTTTTGTTTGAATTTCAATTGGAGCTCATCATGTCATTAAGCATTTTATCTTCCTTTAGGACAAAAACCAGGTGAACGTGAGCCAGCTGTGTTTGGTGGACCTGGCAGGCAGCGAGCGCACCAGCAGAACCCGGGCAGAGGGAAGCCGTCTCCGTGAAGCAGGTCAGTTAATTCCTTTCTGTGGGATCTGATGTCTTTCTGTGAATCTGCAACATTTTAAACGTGTTCATTCAGACTGTTTATTTTTCTCAGTCTATTTCACCTCTCATTCACAGGAAATATTAACCAGTCCTTGATGACACTGCGCACATGTATGGAAGTCCTGCGTGAAAACCAGATGTGTGGAACTAATAAGGTTCCTATTTTTTTCTTTGTTCTTTATTGTGTCATTTTTGTTAATGTTCCAGTAGATGCAGTTTCACAGAGCCTTGTTTCCTTTTCCAGATGGTGCCATACAGGGACTCTAAAGTTACACACCTGTTTAAAAACTACTTTGATGGAGAAGGAAAAGTCCGGATGATTGTGTGTGTCAACCCAAAGGCTGATGATTATGATGAAACTATGGTAAGACATGGTATTTGACAGCGACTTATCTGTTGTCTCTTCTAATTGTCCCCCAAATATCCAGATATTCTCCAAGTTTTTAACTTTGAGAATTGCTGGAGGCTTGAAGGAACTATGAGTGTGTTTCTAAAAAAATGCAATTCTTTGTTTTGCAGCTGGTGATGCGTTTTGCTGAGATGACCCAGGAGGTGGAGATTGCTCGGCCAGTTGACCGGCCTATCTGTGGCCTTGCTGCTGGACGCAGACACAGAAACCAGGTCTTCAGAGATGAGCTGTCACGTCGCCTAGAAGAGAGGGAAGGTCCGAATAATGCCGGTAAACTACCCTCAAGTTTGTATTGCTAGCTCGTTGTGCTCATGTCGGGGTGTGTTCTTACATGTTATATATTCATAACATATATTAAACTATTTTATTTCAGTTATATGTTACTAAATCTGCTTAAATGTGTTCTTATTCCCACATTAGATGACCAAAGTTTAATGAGTCAGCTCATAGAAAGCCTTCCAGCCCTCCCTCCCTGTGAGCTGGCTGACCCAGCTGATGATATGACGTTGCCCCGCCTGATTGAGGTCCTGGAAAGGAGGCATCGAATCCGTCAGATGATGACAGAGCAGTTCGACAAAACCGGTTTGGGCTTTTTATACTACAGCCAAATGAGACTCTGGTGTGGATACAAAGTTCTCCTCACTGCTAATTTTAGGCAATAACAAAAATTATTAATCTTTTGAAGGCATTTTTTTTTTTTTTAAACTCCAGCTTATCTGCCCATGACACCTTAATCTAATATTTGAAAGGATTTTTATTGGTCTTTGAGTCCTTTTTTATCTACAGGGATAAGCAACATGTGTTTTCTCCTGCAGCCACTACTCTGAAATCCATGATTCAGCAGTTTGACAGTCAGCTTAATGCAAAGGAGAACTTCCTTCATGACCAACGAAGCAAACTGAGTGAGAAAGACAAAGTCATCATCAACCAGAGAGCGGAGTTAGAACGACTAGAAAAAAAATCCAAAACATTAGAATATAAGGTATTGTGTCCTTTTACATTATTTTCTTTGATTGTCCAGTGCTCTACATTTGTTAACTATTTTTTTTTTTACACTTGCTCAAAGAAGTAATGTAGTCTGATTTCCCTTTTTTCACTCTGAAACTACCGGGCGTCCTCTTTAGGTCGATATCTTGCAGAAGACTACGGACATGTACGAACAGGACAAACGCTCCCTTCAGCAGGAGCTGGAGACCCGGGAGCAGAGGCTGCATAGAGAGCTGTCAGAGAGGAGGCGCATGGAGCAGCGCATGCAGGGGGTGATGACAGACACCAAGCTCAAGTGGGAGAAGGAGTGTGTAAGTGGAACTATTGACAGGTGCATTTCTATCTGGTAATATTTAGTTTTTATATTGATGACTCACACAGACATCATTATGATCAATGTAGCTTTATGTGGGTTACACTGGGCAACTGCAACACTTTATATTTTAGAGATCTTGTCCAGTGGTAGTGGTTTTCAAAATGTGTTAATACAAATTTCAATGTTTAACATTTTAGCTGTTGCTTGAGCGGGAACAGTGCAATGCAGGCCGGCCTTGAAAATTCATGCATGTTCTTCGGTCAACTTTTTACTGACGTCTCATTATTAGGAGAGGCGAGTAAATGCCAAGCAGATGGAGATGCAGAACAAGTTGTGGGTGAAGGATGAAAAGCTGAAGCAGCTCAAGGCCATAGTGACGGAAAGTGGCAGTGGGGGTGTTGGCTTTCCCGTCGAGCGCCAAGAGAAGCCTGAGAGGCCTTCAAGAGAGAGGGATCAGAAGAGGTCTGCCTCGCCGTCGTCACTTCCTGTGAGTGATTTACTCTTATGAGGCTTTCTCCTTCCGTTTGCACTCAATTCATCTCTAAAAACAATTTTAACTGAAAATTGTGCATGTCATTAATAATTCCGATTAACTTAAACCTGAACTCTTAAGATTTCTGTTTACTGTTCACAGCAGCTTCTTCTTTGTATCACCCTGTTGTGTATTTGTGTCAATCTGGAGCCCCTAACATCCACAATGCTTGGCACCATTCCTTCGTCACTTTTCAGGACATCAGCCAAACTCCTTCCAACCAAAATCGAGCCAATGTCAGGGCTTTTCAGGACCTTTACCCCACACCTTCCTCCTCTTCAGCCTATCCTTCTGTAGCCTCTTGCATCTCTGAATGGGAGCACAGGGTCCCTGTAGACTCAAGCAGCAGAGCTAGGCATGTTGGGACTCCGCAATACAGGAGCCGGACTCCCTGCCAAGGCACCAGCAGCGTGGGTCGCAGGAGAGGCCAGCTCTGGGCCCCTGACTCTGAGGCCCCAGCTACGACTCTTGTCTATGGGTTAGACCTAGAAGCAGGCACAAGGGTCAGTGTGTGTTAGAACTTAGATTTCCTTAAGATTATGTTTTAATTTTCAAGTCTGTAGCTTGAGCCTTGCCGCCTTACAGAACTGCACCCGTAGTGTCATCAGTAGATGTCTGCTTGTTTAGAAATGCTTTAAGTAGAGGTGCTTCATTAGTGAAGGCTGGAGTTTCTCCCTATCCACACGGTAAGGTAGACCAGCCTGTCATGCTTGTAAATCCTCTTGACTTGCATTTAAAGCTTTAAGAGTAGTTTTAACATGTTTGTAGATCTTTTAGTCTCTAACTGCTCTCTAGAATTTATTTTTCCTTTCTCCGCATCATGTCAAATATGAGTAGCACTACATTAACACAGACAATGAACCCCCCCCCCCCCAAAAAAACACTGAAAATACCTGTTTATTTAATGAATTCAAAAGTTGCAGAAATACACAATGTACAATACTGATGCAGAATGTTGCATGTTCATTTATCAGGCTTCGCAAAAAAAATTAACCCAAAAAAACTTAGTCAAAACTTAAAATGTAACTTTTTAGTTATATTTGGTTTTCAATAACTTTGTGAATGTTTCACAAAAAATTACCATCTAGATTTCACATCCTGTCTTTGTTTGAGAAGATGCTACAATGCACCTTTTTATTTATTTATTTTTTTAATTTTGGGGGGGGGGGGATATTTGCCTTTATTAGACAGGACAGCTTAAGAGCATAGTGAGAGAGAGCGGGGATGACGTGCAGCAAAAGGGAGAGGTCGCTGGAACTTTGACGCTGGACTCTACATGGGGCTCATGCTCTAACCACTGCAATGGACGAGCACCTCATGCTTTCTGTTTTCAGAAACATACAAATAGAAAACAACCTTTGACCAGAGTCAGACTTTACACACGGGGCCAAATTGTCAAATTAAAAAATGCTGTTTTATCCCGAGATACTTGGCTTTTCTCAAAATACACACATGTGGAAGTGTTTGTTATTTTGACTCTGCCTTTAATTTTCTTCATATTATAAATTTGAAATTTTGCCTCGATGGGTTCCAGACTTATTCCCAGCGACTCAAATAATCAAAAATTAATGAAGTGAGACAAAGCAGTAATTCTATCTGATTATGAGGCTTTCTTAAACAACTACCATGTGGAGATGGAATCCAGCATCAACAATGGGCCATCCAAAACTTTATTTTAGAAGAAAGCCAGTTAATGTGGAGTTCATCAGAGACCCTCTCAGTGCATTGTACCAAAACTGAGTAATCCGATACTACTTTTAAAAGAGAATTACTGTATCAGCTGTCGCATTAAAACAAGAACATGTTTAAACCTTTTTTTTTCAGTCACCTGTGCTTTACAACACATCTCCTGATACACACTATTCATTCAGTGTCCATTCAAATGTAATTGCTATTCCCTCCGAACTACTTTTGCACTGCTTTGCATGTTCCTTCTTATTCACTCAACTAGTCTGATGTGTATGTATTTCTGGAAGGCCTGAAAATGGTTTGTTTGGGATGTGACTCCTGACTATGTGGAGGGCTAAAAGTCCCCCCCACCTCCCCAAAATGTAAGATAAACCTATTGGACTTCCAGTAATACATTTGCTTTCAATACTAGCTAACAACCTCTCGTGATCAACCTTCAGTACTAACCCGGACAAATTCCGAAGCTTCCTGCTGGTGTCACACGTGAATAATTGCTGCTTTCTCTTTCTCACACTGGGATCACCAGACGTCCACTCCGGTTCATCTGACGCACAGGCGCTCACACTCTGCGGGTGGGGAGAAATGGGTAGACCACAAACCAACTTCTAATTTGGACCTAGACACAGTCATGCAGCCAATCATACCCAATGCAATCAAAGTGTCGGCCCCCAACGAGAAAGCTCTGTCTAAATGCCAAAAGTATGTGCTTAGACATCAAGAGCTTGCCTCTGACGGGGAGATCGAGACCAAGTTGATCAAGGTAAAAATCACATCTTTACTTAATTCAGACTTCTGATTATTTCAAGTCTTGCATGAGTTTGACTTTGAGTTGTTCACGTACAGACTTTACTCTCTGGCCAGATTTTTGATCATCATGGGACACTGCTTCTGTTTTTCCATGTTCTGTGAAGAGGCCTTTCTTTCCTTATTATCCTTTTAGACATTTGTGAGTTTAAAAAAAAAAAAAAAAATGTTTCTTCACAGGGCAATGTGTTCAAGACCAGAAGTGGTGGACAAGCTGTTCAGTTCACTGACATTGAGACACTGAAACAAGAGTGCCCAACAGCATCAAGGTACAGTTTTTCCCCCCCATCTAAAACAGGCCGTGATATTTATGTCTTTGTACAAGGTAATTTGACTTTAAAAGATATTAACATAACGCATCTGTCAAACATTAAAGATAATTATGTAACTATACCTCAAAACACAAGTTGGAAAGTTGTTTTTAATATTTTTAATTCATTAATATGACAAATATTTAGGTTGCACATGTTTAGCTGTGGCAGCAAGAAGCTCATAAATTACACATTAATACCGATAAGTTTGGAAAGGATCTAAAGTAAGGCAGTCAAAATAAATTAGTTGACCACTCCTCCACTGGAGCCAATTGAGAGGCTTTTGGTCGAGAAGTTTAGAGTTATTATGTGCAGAAAAACTAGTTGACTGAAATGCACTTACAGATGAATATGTTAACTGTTCAGTAGTGATAGTTTTACACATGCCACACCCTTTTTCCAAACATCTTACTCAGCATGAATTGATTTAATTCCTCCAGCCTTTATCACTTAAATTATCATTTTTAACTGATTCCACTTACATCTTATGGTTTTTATATTCATAATGTTTAGTTCAGGGTGGGGAGTTTTATGCAGAGAACTAACAAATTCAATTTTTTTTCCAGTCGCAAGAGGCGTTCAGGGTCTGGAGAGGGACCAGCTCATATCGACGACATAGAAAACAGGGTAAGCCCTTCATGAATCTCAAAAAGAGAAAGTGTTGAACTATTCTTATGCCTTTCTGTTATCGTATACATATATCATACACTCAGCCAATCCAGAAGATTCTTATATACATCTTAAGGTATCAGTGATTATGAACTTTGATGGCTGTATTCATGTTGTCAATCCCTTTCCAACCCTTTCTCACATTAGGCTCCAGTGACAAGCACAAGTTCAATCCATGGCTATCAAAAGTAAGTAAATAAAAGCATGTGTTTGCATCTGTTAAATGTATACACAGTATTTATAGCATCATTTCTATCAAACGCGTTGTAGCCATTTCTTGGATTAAAAGTCAGGTTTGTTCATGTTTTTACTTCTTTCTTCCAGACGGAGAAAACCTTGAGCTCCTAGACAACTGAAGGACTTTTTTTTTTTTTGTCTGACTATTGGATCAGTGAAGGGACCTCCATATGAAACTATGCATCCTTTTGGGAGTCTGAACACTCTTTCTCGGATCTTATGACAAACTATTATAGTGCAATTATAATTTAATCAAAGCTGTTTTGATACTGTGCTGGACTAGTGCGCTTTCTTTTTTATGAATGCTGGTATTATTCAATCTTACAGACAGGGAAATATTTAAAAGCCCAATATAAATATTCCTTGAAAAGGAAATGTTTTTTTCACCTAATCTTTTTCACTGCTTTTTACTGCTACCCAAAGATTAGAATATTTGAGCCCTAGAACAATAGAAAATGTATATTTTTTTAGTGTTACTGCTTTTTTTTCTTGCTTTTTTCGATAGGATTATTCATTTATTAGATGTTAAACTTAGAACATATCTGATTATAAAAAAGAGAAAAGTACAACACTCAGTTGTTTTGATTAACAATGTGTCAAACGTCAGCTTTAAATATAGAACTGTACAGTAGGTGCTGAAATCAATCTAGCTGTAAATAAGCAGTCGACCTTTGTTTCTTGAAACTTCTGAGATGTGTAGCACACTGCTGTTTTTGGTGGCATTAAATTTATAAAAGCAAAAGGTCTTGTCATGATTTCCTGACCCACAAAGGTAAAAGGTTTTTTAAAGTCTTCAATCTTTTGGCCTTAGTACGTACATCCAAACCTTCTTGTATTTATTTATTTTGAACATTTTTAAGTTCCCTGCAATAAACAGGCAAATGAAGCCAATAACAAAAAGGCTAAAGTTGGTGTTTGACCTTTAGTTTAAGGTAGTTCAGTCTCTTTATTTGCCTCTGAGGTGAATGCAAATTAATTCCAACAGATCTTTTATGTATGAAAGTCCTCTCTTCATGGCTTCCAAAATTCTCATGAGGATTTCATGTACTTCCAAAAACATTTCAGTTTCAGTCACAAACAGTAAGACACACTTTTTAAAATAATCACACAAAATAAATTTCATCCATTTGGATAAACTTGTCTCCACCTCCCTTCAAATAACTGGAAAACAAGTGTCAACTTGTCTGACTGTCAGAGCCACAATGATCGACTCATTTACAAAGTCAAAAGCTCACCAAGTCTAAGCAGACCGTTTACCTTACTGACAAGTCGACACTTCATGCGTGTTTGTGCAACATTTTTGGCCTGTCAACAGGTGAGAAATATCAAACCAAACTAACACAACCAAGCAGAAGCATACACAAGCAAGTCTGTAGATCGTTGTTTTTCTCACCTTGGCTAAAATCCTGTGGACAGGATCTCGCTGCTTGCATTCTGGCGGTGTGAAATTCCACCAATGTGTTTCAAATGCTTTGAGGTGGCAGATTTTGGATCACAGATATACGAACATCACTTTTATTCTCCATCTGAAGCAAAACACTAATTCAGAACATTAAAGGCTTTATAGAACAGAGTCAAGTATTTAATCCTTATCTCCCTTATTCTGTTATTCTTTGTAACTTGGTATATGCTTCAGTTTGACACCTTCAACTCTTCTATCTGTTGAAGAAATGGATTGCCATTCATTTACCAGAGGACAGAAACTTGTAGTTCACAATGTGAACAGCAGGGGGAACTAAACACCTTCAGAAAGTACATTATTTAAAACAGGCCATTGAGGAATGTGTGCTTTCAATATATTTAAAGATTTTTTACTCATACTAAACTAGAAGTAATATTTATTATCACTTAAAAACAGCACATGTACCCCAAGAATCTGTTTTTCTTCATGCAAGAGCAGTTCCATGCCTAAATGACACCATAAGTCAAAGAGTGCCTGTCACCCCTTTATGTAGGTTACATGCCACATACTCAGTCTCTGCCACTGACATTAGACAGCTTGTGTTTCCCAGAATGCCCTTCTGCCTCACTGCTATTATTTCACAGTGACTGCCTGGACAAGCAGGATGATGAGGTCACTGATTTGCTGAACTGTTTTTCTGCCTGGATGATGAGCTGTCATTATTGTCCCCCTGAGGTTGAAATTGCCACATTTTCACTTCACAGCAAATGAAGCTGAAAAGTATGCGTACTAATGAGCAATATGCACTTGGATAATTGACTACGGAAGGCAATTAGGTTACTGGAACTGAATAATCAAAAATGAACTTTCCTTTTCATTTAGGGGCCCATGAACATGACATCATGTGCACTGTTTTTGTTAGTTTGAGTATTCAAATGTGTTCAAAATCTGTTAACAAATGTTGTTATAGTTTATGCATACTGTACAACAATAGGTAATACAATATTAAATATAACATAATATTATTTTTCAGTATGCAATTCTAAAGTGATTATAATAATAGTACATCAATTGAGTAAGGGTGTTAGTGCAAACATTTATAGGTTGTTTATCAAGTGGATAACATTTTTTTGGTTAGAATAGCATATTTTGGGGGCTTTGAATCCTATACAAGCATTTTCTACACTTTCTAAAGTATGGTATCCATTATATGTTGGTCCATTGTTTAATTAAACTAAATAAAATGTACTTATTCCTAAAGTATAAAATGCTTTTTCTAATATCTCAGTTTAAAAGTTGACAGTACAGCACATCTTTACTCATAAAGCAACAGACACATGTTGAATCAACAGGCGCTTGTAAATCCCTCCCTCTCAATCAATGTTTTTTTTTTTTTTTTTTTTTTTTTAAACTAATGTACAAACAGCAATGCAAACACATTTGGTGACAAGGCTGATGTATTATTTCTTAGTGAAGAATTGCCAAACATAAATTAGTCATTTGAAACTGGTGATTTATGTTCTCCACAGGATGTCCATCCTGCCTGGTGGCTGTTTGAGCACTGGTTGGAAGTGGTTAAAATGTGGGAAACAACTATCAGCCAATCTCTGCTGTGTCTTCAGGCTTGCCTGAGAAAATATTGACCCTTCCTTCCTTGCCTGTTTAACTAGCCAGCCTTTAAGCAGTGTCAGAGCAAACACAACATGACAGTGGTGCTTTACTAAATGGCTTCTTTAACTCAAACACTTGCTAATGGCTTCTTAAACACAGCTCCTCTTATCCAAAGGGGACTTTGTATTTGTTTTGGTAAATTGTATCAGACTAGTCACAGTTTTGTAACTCGGTGAGTGTGAAAGCGAGAGATACTGTATTTTAAGTTTGCTGTATATTATTTTATTCCATTAGCTTACATAACAGGCCCTCTATTTGAAATGGTACTGCGGGAGGAGTTTATCTGTCCCACCAGATCCACACAAGTAGGCTCATGTTTGTAAACAAAACATCTAAAGTGCAAAACTGTAGTAAATGTATGACTGTGACACAAATTCATTAGTCCAGAAAATATGTTAAAACATTGATAATGTTGCAGACTTTAATAGCCTACTCAATGTGTTTTTCATTTACATATTTTGAAAGGAGATCTGTACTAAGTAGGAAAGATACTACTGGCTAATGGATTTTAATAAAATGTATAATTTGTAAAGCAGCAGCTTTTTAACTATGTTTACATACCAGCCTTGTGCTATAATTAACCATCAAGCAGAAGTAAAAACAACTTTGGTTGATTGATTTACATAACATTGAACGTTCCTCGAATCCTGTAGTACGGAGGTTACCAAGGCAACAGTCAGTCTACTCAGTGGAAAAGTTACTAAACTAATAATTAAACCGCGTATCCGACTAAGTAAAGTTAGTTTGTTTTAAATAAACTTATTTTAACCAAATGAAAAACAACTCGAGGACGACGGACACACACAAACTACAGGAGAACAACTAATGACACGTTTTCTTTTGGGAGAAAATGTGAGCTATTTCATAGATGGATACTGTCTGAAGGTAAAGCTAGCTACATCAACATACAGTCTGCAGTCTTGTTCAGGAGATTCACTCTTTAGTTATCTTTTCAGCTTGCTGCATGTCATCATATTCAAGTATGCCAATTTCTGTTGGTGCACACCCTATTTTTAAAAATGTACATTTGCAGTGAAGCTTTGGCAATTGTTATTAGCCTGCATGCTTTGGCAATATTTTCACATAAAGCTTAATACTGAATTGAAAAAATGAATTGAACAGTTAAGTGTAGTCAACAGATGTAGGCTAGTTGGCCAGGCTCATAGTTTAATTTTATTAATTTATATGTTATTATTATCTTTTATTTTCAGCCTTATGTTTAACTGATGGTTGACAGATGCACCTGACCCCGCCCACTTTTTAATGATGCTTCTAGAGACAGCTTGCAAGGTGAGTACAGAAAATAAACATGCTTTGAAATCTAGTCACCAATATCTTACTGTACTTTATGAAATTATGGACGGTTAGGAACACTATTTGCCAATAGTGTATTTATTTAGTTTTCAAAACTGGGTCTTCAGTCTTTAGATGGGCCTGTGTCGTAATCCTGCAAAACTGTAGAAGAACTATTCCAAAGTTCAATGTTGTATAATGAAATAGCTTCAAAACTGTCTAAAACAAAGGGTGTAAGTCTGAACAATCGTTATCATGTAGTGTTTTGAACACAGTTTGTCCGTAATTTGAAAATGTATTAAATATTGAACCTACTTAGACTTTTTAATCTTACCTTAGTTGCATATTACTGCTTTCTTAAAACATATGGCACATTATTCTTCTTAAAAAATGTTTGCCAGAGTTTGTGTTTATAAGTTTTAGGTAAAAGAATTTAAGACCCATTGTCTTTGCTTAGTTGTTTGTCGTGTTTGGTGTGCTTTGTGTTCTTTGTGGTCGTAGTTTGACCAACAATTGCACTTAATTTGTAAGTCATTTCATTTCAATGAACACATGTTTAGAAACTGCTTCTGCACAACACTCTGTATATATGGAAGTTATGTGGGGAGATTACGCTGTAATATGTAAAGCATAATTCAGCTGTTTACTTCAGCAACACAGGATAAAAAAGATTGTTGCTTTTGAAACTTTGCCTTTGTAATAAACTGCCATAGAGTATTATAATGCTGGATTGTGTTTCATCTTCTAGCCTGTAGCAACATGCTCACACTTATGTATCCTGCTGTGTTGTTAAATGCAGAGCTATATTTGATCAGGATGTTGGCTAAGGTAAAAATTGTTGCTGATAAAAAAAAAAAGTTCCTTTATATTCTTGGTAGCTAATAGCTATTGCTGAAAGCTACAGATGGGTGTTGCTTGGTGCTGATAAGGAATGTTTAGATCCCAGCATTTTTTTTTCATCTTTTGCATTAAAATACATTATGTGTTGATATGACCATCTGAAGTAGTGGACAATTCGATAGATTTAACCCCCTCATGTTCCTAAATTTTACTCCCTGCCATCATTATCTCAGAAAATAAGACAGCCCTCTTCCCCATTAACCCCCTCTTCTTTTCACCTGCCTCCTGAGGGCATACAGAGTAAACAAACAGTGTTTGTACAGCCGTGTGTGTGTTTGCTTGCGTGTGTGCGTGTGTGTTGTTTCCC